ATGACCATTTCACAAGACAGCGCGCAGAACAGTACAAAGGAACGAGCTGATAATTTACAAGAGTCGGCTCTTCTTTGTCCCGTATAATCCGGAGGCTGGTGTGGGCTCTGCACAAATGCAAGTCACAAGTTTTCAAATTTGACATGACTCAGCATAATTACATTTTTACTTGGTCATCTTTTTTTTTTCATCATTATTGTTTTGTGACGCTGGCTTCTATACCCTGAGAGTTCAAAGTGTGTCCCAGTTCTGAGTAAACGTGAAGAAAACCAAAACCAAAAGCAATGACTGAGAACCCAATCTTACTAACAGACTCGTCCTGCTTTGCACATGAAGCTGTGGCCTCAGTTGGTGATTAAATTTGAATGCTGTTAATTGCCCCGGGTAACTGTGATGCATGTAGGTAGAAGGTCAAAGGGAGTCACTGAAGCTAAATCAAAGAGTGACCTTCTAAAATGATTCGATTCAAGGGAGAACACACCCACAAAGCATTTGCCTCCTCACACATTTTGTTTTTGATTTATTGTCAACAAAGCAAACTAGTTCAGTGCAAAAACATGTTTTCCTAACAATGCCGTTCAATTTTAAGGGTTGTCAAAACCGATGTGCCCATACGAATGAGTAATTGTGCCCTAAGCTTAATAACTGGTTTTGTCACTCTGCAGCAATGAATACCCTGGAGCGTATCCAGTAATTTTGGTCGAACTATGTGGAAGACATCTGTGTCACTTTCCTTACTACGATTTGTTTTATTTTGTAACATCGGAGGAGTATGAACTGTCACCAGCCACGAGAATTTGTATCGTTTGTCACATTTGGCATTCCTTACTCATTTCAATCGTAAGTTTCGATATGCCACATGTTGACATTCTTTGGTTTCTCACTATTTTCCCCTCATTTCTCCTTTTCCTAATCAGAACCATCTCCCCGCTGCAGTGCGTTCATTTAATTTGGTGAACCAATGTGTCCATAAATCACCTCCTCAGCAGCAGCTAGCGTCTGTCCGATTAGGGAACTCCTCGTCAGATCCTTCCGTAGTCATTCTTTCTTCATTTGCTGTCTGGACCTTCACTGCAGGAAGAAGAAACGGATCAAGTGTGTTTTGCTTTTTCATGAAGTGGCAAAAATGAGACACGGAAAGGGAGCAAAATTGGGGATGACTCATGTCTCACAGTAACAAGGCATACGGTACTTGCAGACAGTTTAATTAGAACACTACGCATCCGAGCATAGTGTATCCATTATAAATGGATAATGTTGCAGATTATCCATTTATATATTCTTTTTCTCAATGACATCAAAGAGTTATCGGTAATGAAACTCGTCTGGACTATGAAGAGAACTCGCCCCCAAACTAAACAGAAGAAATCCTGATAGAAACTGTAAAACTTATTTTTATCGTGATTTAACAGTTTATCGTGTTCAATTTGTTCACGTTTCTGTTAATCCGAAGCTGGACTTATTTGTGTTAATCCAATCTGTAGACAGTTGAGCTTTTGTTGAAACTGAACAGTTGATGGGATTCTTTCCCCCTGTACTGGAGTTGATTATTTGGTCAAAAACTTGTCCTCGGTTCACTTGCACTAAAGTCTCATTTAACAGCACCGTGCTGAGTTAAAACACGCCGACTGGTTTTTGATTGGCACAGTGGGCGAGCTTGATTATAACAGACAGGTGGGCAGAGGCAGCGTCCTGCAGAATCAACGGTCTACGAAAGAGACAAACTGCTTTGCTAAGCTTAAAACTGACCCGTTTGTTACTCGAAGCTTTATAGATATTCTTGGTGAGTGCTGTGTGCGAATGCTTCTCTGCTTACAGAGCTAATTTTACACCAAGATGCAACGGCCAGCTGGACATGCAGCTATTCGCTCAGCAGCCCAAAACAAACAGCAGAAACTACTGTTGCTCATTCATTTCATTATTCATAAAACTCTTTGCTTTTGGCGAATTAAGAATTCAATGCGGTTTGCTAGTGAAGGTGCTTCCACAGTGAGCCTGGAGCAGGACTCATTGAAATTTCAGGGTGATCAGACCGCACATCGGTCAAGACAAGATGGAAGTGAAGTCTGAAATATGACATTTTACTTACAGGGATCGGAAAGTGAGATAACCCTTTGAGGTTTTCAGACATGAGGCTGTAAATGGAAGTCAAGAGATTCAGAAGACTAGGAGTTTGGATTAAACAATTTGACAACAACAAATGAGGCTTTGACTGAACAAGTCCAGGTATCTCTGCAGGTCTACAATTTCTGGGTGTCAAAAGTCAAAATCTCAAATTCAAAAACAAACATGTTTTGCTCGGTAAATGAAAAAAATCCCACATGCTCGACGGTGCATTGAAATGATTTGCATTCACTGACGCAAATTTGTACCAACTCAGCTTCTTTAATCAAGAGACACTCAATGCTTTCTCTGGAAGAGCTTAATTATATCAGCACTTACACATAAATACACACCAGTAAGCTTGTTTTGGATACTGGTTCACCTCTTGTCACCATCAAGCAGATGTTAACTGCTTCACAGTGGAGAGTCTTACGTCACCCGGAAGCCCCTTAATCCACCCGGGCCGACCCAGCTGTGAGGCCAAGATAAGCAGTGACCACTGATATGCAATTGCACAAATTTCAGCAGCTGTGCAGATCACCGCCTTGCTCTCACCAACGAAGCCCGGGCAAACAAAAAAAGAGCTGCTTTTTCTTCACGTCAACCACTAAAAACTCCTTCTTCCTTCCAAGATGAATTTCTCCTATGGGAGACGAATAAAATTGTCTTTTCTTTCCCCTTCTTGCCTCTGAGATAAGAGATGTGAAGTTTGAGCATGTGACAGAAAATGCGGTATGGGCTGCATTCACAGCAGCACGTTTAAACGTGTTTCTGGTGGAATATTTGGCACACCGCATTTTGACAGCAAGCACAGGCTGGAGGATCGTTACATAAGGCGGCTGCGGGGAGATTTAAAACGACCAAGAAATCGGCTTGGCAGAAGCAACACGTCAGGTTTTCTACTCCAAGCTGGCCCGAAATAGTTAACGTTTTTTTTTTTTTTTTTTTTATAGAATGATAAAACACAGAGTAAGGAATTCCACAAGATCTTCTATTCACACAATCAGCATTGCTTGCCATCAATCCTCACGGGTCTATTACATCATGTTTTCCTGTTCTCCAGCCGTCGCTGGCGAACACTTGTAGGAAACAACGTGGTCAGCTAATGGCAAGACAAATATGATTCTGAGCGTGTCACTTTGGGGAGGGGGTGGGGGGAGGAAACTGACCCTACTTACATAAGCCTCAGAACCAATGAGTGATGTTCTGTTTTTCAGCAGCTCTGCTCCTGGATCTGGTCCGCAGCGAGACGCGGCCGGCGCAGGCAGGCTCGGCCGGGGGATTACACGTGTCATGTTTATGTTTCCCGACTCTCTCCCGCATGGAGGAACTTCACTGTGGGGTTTTCATGTGGGAAACAGATTCCCGGGTGTTCACTGCTTGGCGGTTACATAACTCAAGGTTTTCATGAGGAGCTGAAGGTGTGGGATCAGAATACGCATTCAGGGTCAGCTACTTCGGACTGCCACTCCGCTTTCTGCATGGATTCTTGTGTTGTGCACAAAACTCTATGATCAAAAATGTTTTGCTACCTCTAAGTACGAATGTAAAAACATTTCAGTGGCAAAATATTGAAAAATGATCATGCTATTTGTGAGAAGAAAATAATATTAAGTTAAAAATGCTCAGCATGATATTCCACACCACATCAAAGTTGATTAAAAAAAAACAACATTTTATTATGAGTGATACGGCGGATCTGGAATCTAAGAGACTGTAATTTTTTAAAGTTGGGACAAAAATATCCACAGTACTGTAACTGTGTCCTCTGTCTCTATTTCAATGTGAGTTTCAGTTGAAAAATCACTTGTTACAAACCCTGGATTAATTAGCTCCGGCTTTGCAGGCCGTGCATCGCCGAAATCAACCTCATTGCTGGAAATTGGCCACGCAGCACACAGTCGTGGGACAGATATTTGAACTCCACCGATTCAAAAACACCTTGTTCTTGCATCCCGACTTTTATAAAGCTCTGCAAATGTGTTCATGGATGTGAAGCTGGACCTTAATTTATTTATTTTTTTTATGTCACGTTTTGGTGACTTGCTTTGCCTGGACAGCCAAACCTGAGCATGTTGGCTGTATTTTCTTGAATGTTCGCCGCTTGTGTGCTAATTTTAGGAAAGCAAAGTGGTTCTTTTGAAATTGCGTTGGATGTCTTTAAATGTCTTCCCAGAGTTTCAAGCTGCCGGTCTTTGTTTTCTTCTCTCCCCAGGCTTCAGATTGCTCTTCCAGTGTCCTCACTGCGCTGCTCACTCTCACATATCAAACTAAATGCTTTAGGGGTAAAATGGGCAAACATTGCTCAAAATATTGAGTAATTATGTTCTGTGGGATGTTTGTCATCTTAAATTGGAATAAATGTGGGGGTGTTGTAATTTATTCCTCACCAGATGTTACGCTTTTCATTTAAAAATAAAAAATAATTGATAAGGTAAATAACAATTACTTAATTGTTAGGTAATATTACCTGGAACTCAATTGTTGAAGTTGATTTTAAATATCCACCTGCCCAAATGTTATCAAAGCATTTTTTTTACTGTTGTATATCAACAAACCTTAATTCACCGAATCAAAGTTATGACAATATGACTGATAAATGCAATTCAGCACGATTTTGTACTGTTTCATGTCATTAGTACCAACTTATCTCTTATTCTTAATGTTTTGACGGGGACATCTGTGGTGACACCGAGGCAGAAAGGCAGCCACTCGCGACGCGTCACAGAGAAAAGTAGGCTGGAAGTCGAAGCTGCCGTTGTCGGACTCCTCCAAGTGCCGCCATTTCCGCTCGTTCTCCCCGAATCTTCAGCTCCAGGTGTGTTTTGTTTTGTTTACCTGCCTGCTCGGTCCCAGGCGGGCACGCTCGCGCGCCGCTGGAGAGGGGAGTGGGCTTTGCTCCGCGAGCTCCACAAGGACGGGCTGTACCACCGCGATGATGGAGAGCAGGGGGCGGGGGGAGTCAGCGAGTGAAACCTGGATTTTTCTGGCGATATTCACGAAACTGTAACTCTAGTCCCCGGACGTAAACCAGAACAAAATAGGATCACTGATGTTTCTAAAGAAGGTTGGTAGACTAAAAGGGGTTTAAGCCGTCAGCCGTTCTGTTTATAAGTTTCTTTCTCCCCCCCATTTCCAAACTCCGAGGCTCCATCTTGCCTTTTGATTGACCGCAACATATATGTTTTTTTTTCTGGGTGCTGAATTTTTTTTCCCCCCTCTGCTGGAAAGAAATACAGCAACAGTGGAAGAAGGCAGGGAAAGAAAAAGGCTCGGCGGAAAATAAAAAGCGGTGACAGAGAAAGTGCCGAAACAGGAGCTCCGCGGGGAAAAGTGGGGGAACAGGTTGGGAAAAAAAGAGCAAGAAGAAACTGAGCAAGTGGGGAAGGAGACTTTGCCATAGATATATTTAGATATTTTTCTTTTTGGAGTCCGTTCATTTTATTGACAGCGAGCTTCGAATTAAAAGGTACGTCCCTTGTTTGTTTGTTTTCCTCTTCCGCACCAAATTGTTGAGAAATGATTCTGAAAGTCTTTGTTTGTTTCGCTCTTACATTAAATTCTGTTACCACGGTAAACAATTGAAACGTCGACTGCTTTGCTACAATGCACTCAATTTATACGTCTGTGAAAGGAAAACTGTTATTTGCTCGCGCAAGAAATAGTGGTTTTTAATCAACGCGAGAGCTCGTGGCAGAGCGCGTTATTGATGCGCACATGTGGCACCGCAAGTGGGGCTCTTTGTTGCTCCAGCCTCATGCTACATACAGTAAGTGGCCGCGGCATGGCAGGATACAGGCCGGTGTTGACATTTTCATACCGCACGAAACTTATTTATGGAGAGAACCCCCCCGCCCCCTGCCTCTCTCGGGCCCCCTCCTCTGCTCTCCTTCCTCCATTTCTTTGCTACCTTTCAGCCGCATCCATGCTTGACTTTGTGCAGTTAAAACAGTTCCACTACACAGGAACTGCAGCTCGAGGCTGTTTTAACGGTTCAGTGGTTTTTATTTACGCCACTGCGAGGTTGTATTTTTCTTCTCTCCCTTCTTCTTTTTCTTCCCAATGTGAAGTGCTGGGAGGGAGCCGCCACATTGCCAAATATGTGTCAATGTCAAATGGAGGTGTGTCCCCTTAGCGTGGCTTCAGTGGCCCCCGTGTTGGCTCGGACATAAGCGAGAGAGAGAGAGACGACTGACGTAAAATGTCACAATAACAAAGGTCCGTTTCACGAGGAAACCCGCGGATATCTTTTAGATGTAGCCCGTTCTGGGGGAGGGTAGAGGGGCTGTTCTGATTCTGTTCGTCGTGCGACCCAGAGGCGAACGCATTCGCTCTACACAGAAGCTCGCGCGCAGCCCCCCTCTGAGTCATACCGCATTTTGGACGCTCGCGCTGCTTGGGCGAAGTGGAGAGAACCCCTGCTGATAGCGTGCGCGCGCGCACCCAGACAGCCTCTTCGAAAGTAGGAATTGTGTTTCTTACTTGTTTTTTATTTAAATGATAAAATATTTAATAATTTAAAAAAAATGCGGGCGTACGAGGACGCAGAAAACGCACCTGTACCTGCTCGCGCGCAGTGACAGGACTGATGGATGGGCGGCGACGCAAACACGACCACGTTCAGCACAAAATGCCCCGGATTTTTTTTTTTTTCTTGCTTGGGCGTGGTGTATATTCAGCACTTAAATCTCCACGTTTCTAACGTCAGAATGACAGCAAACAGTTACTTCCTAAATTCAAACACAAATGAGACGATTTGTACGGGTCGACTGAGTTTTCAAATAGGCGAATCCTGTTTCACTTCTTGCTGGGAGGTCAGAGAATCCCAACTGAAAGCAGCATTGCTTTTGATGAGGTCTGACCTGTGCCTGCAAACGCACTCGCAAATGTTTTTTCCAAAGGCTTTTAGTTTGATGTGTTGCAATCAGGCGTGGAAACCCGCAGCTGCGACGGGCCAGATGCGGCTGAATTTACAAAGTAGCGAGTAAATTTGATCAACCCACAAGCTGAAGTGGTGGGTGTGCAATTTGAATATTTCGAGAGTACACAACAGTAACTATAGCTGATTGACGATTGTGGCTTAATAATACATATATAATACATTTTATTTTTGTGGTGCTTTTCTAAAAACTCTAAGTATATGGTAGGAATCAAGCAAAATTCACACTGATTTGGGAAATTAATAAATTACAACTATTTGCTTGGAACGAGAAGCAACCAAATAGCTGTAAGTTCGACTCTAGCTCCCTCTGTATGTTGATGTGCCCTTAGGCAAGGCATTTGATACCAAGTTTCCTACTGATTGGTGTTTTTAATGGGAGGATGCTTGTGAGTGTCACTGAATGAATAACGGAGATACGTGGCAAGAAATGCTTTGGGTGGTTGATATGATCATCTGGGTCACTTGATGTTAGAGAGGCCATAAAGATTTAAATAAGATGGGAAAAAAATCAATGCCAACCACACAAAGAAGAATTTTGTCAGCTAATAATTTTGCAGATTTGGCAACTTTTAACAGTCTCTGACGTGGATTCTTATGCACTTCTACTAAGTCTCACACTGAAACTACAATTGAGATTGACATTGCAAAATCAGACAGAGGGACTCTTAAAGCTACCAGGGGTTTAAAATTAAATATATGAGCCAGAATATGACTGGAGAGATGAGCCATGGTGGCTGCCAATGTGGATGCTGAGGCTGAAGTTGAAGTTTTACTCCTGGTTGCAGTTTTGTGTTTAATTACTTCATGTGCGTGTTCACCATTCGTAAATACGGCCTGATCTGGATGAGTGACATCTCAGTGTCGTCACGCTGTCACACAAATCCAATGTATTCGGCTTTAAGCCGAGTGGAGAGCTTCATTGTGTGACTAGGCAGAATAATTCATTAATACTTAGACGTGTCTTTCTTGTTTACTTGCTATAACTAGTTTTCAGTTTTACCATTTGTTTTGTATCAGTACCACCCCTTAGCTTCACAATGGAGACTAACTGGTTCAATTAGACCCACTGCCAACGTTTGCCCTTCATCCTGGTGAATGGTGCAGTTCTGGTGAATGGTGCAGTGGTTTTGGGAATCCCTTGAAAATAAACTCATCACAAACCACTACCACAATTTTTTGTTGCCAAATTATCCAGTAATTTTTCCAGTAATCTCCAATATAGCTCTTTTTTTTTTGCTGTCATCTCACAGAACACGAGTAAACTCCATTCAATAACAAATGTGCATAAAAACGTAAGCAGTTGTATTTAGTGATGGGAGATACAACAGATTTTATGAACTGGATTAAATTGAAATTATGGTTAATGCATAGATTGCATCGTCCAGGCTCACTTGCATCAAATCAAAAACCACATTGGACGTGTGCGACGGTATGAAAATATTTGAAACACAACCAAGAGAAACTGTTGGATGGTTCCATCCAGACAGAAGTTTAACAGTTGATCTCCACAGTAAACCTGAAGAACATTCAAAGCTAATTACAGAGTTCATTGCAACTGTTACCACGAAAGTTTTGCAATCATTGGAAATCAATGGGAAGTTGTTTGTTTTTGCTCTATGGAGAGTTCTTTGGACCTACCATGCCACCTCAAAGATATTTAACTGAATCTGCTACAGCAACACCAAAACACAGTGATGGGATCACAAGCAGGTTTGGAAGCTCTGACTTTTGATGCAGAATCTGGTTTTAATAGTGATTTACCGGGACTTTGAAACGAGGGTTTGGCTCATATCCAAGTCATCATTGCAACATTTTCAACATGACTTGAATTCTAGATAAGTGACAATTTTGTTTTAAATGTAGTTTTTCATTTTTAACCCCACAAGCTATCGTATCATGTTCCCGACCTCTATGTGCTTCAGTTAACATCACATTGTGATTCAACTTCTCTTGTGCTTGTGAGCCGATTGCATTAGTGGAAAGACATGACTGTACACTTCAAAGGATTTCTGCTCTTCTAATCGGCTACGAATCATGGTTTATTTATTTAGGTCACGGTAACAAATGGTGCTGCGATGCTTCCTTTGTGTTCATACGATTATTGAACAGATCCTGGGCTGTAGAAGAGGCTCTTCCGCACCATTAAGGGTATTTCATTTTGAAATATGATGACATTGATAGATGTCACAATGACTCTCCAGACTGGAGGATCACTAATTAGTTTCAACATGCTGCGTTTCATCGATCGACCCAACAGTAGCAATCAACCTTGGTGGCACCGTGATGCTGGTTATCAACTCCTAAAATTCACCAAGGTTTTCAAAATATGTATTCATGTAAAATATGAACAACGCATGGCTTTTGATAAACGACTTGCAGAAACACTCACCTTAAAAATCACTCTAGTCATTAATAATGAGCTGCTTAGTAGCGGCAAGATTTAATCCAGGCTTTGAAAATACGAATTGATCATATTTCTGAAGCTAGTCGGGTCAAATGTTTTAGACGAGTTCCAGTTACGTCTACTATAAACATACATAAATAAAAAAGTGACAGCTAGCTCGGTCTGAAACCATGTTTAGCGCTGATTAAAATACTCTGCCACACATCTGAATTACATCTGTAAATGTCAGAGCTGTAATGACATGTTCAGTTCAGAATAGGAGGAAAAACTATTTTCCTCCTGAAAACAAATCAAGCTCTTAATTTAAGTTCTTTTGGAAAAAAAAAAGAAATAGTTCTCCGTTTTTGTTTTCAAAAATAGCATAAGGTTGTCAGAAATAAAAGTTTATCTTTTAATAATCTGATATCAGTATAAAACAAAACAATCTCATGATTTAATAGTTCATATCTTTTAATGTTTTTCAAAATACACAAACCAAGTTTAGTTTAACTCTTTTGACATAAATTTACAACAAACATCATTTCAAAGTTGTATATCAATAATGGTCCCAAATCAACTACGATTGCTCTAATACCAAAACGCCCCCAACCAAAACTGGCTAATATGTGATTATTCTTTGTATCCTTTCAAATAACTTGATTCAAAAATACTTTATTTATTACAAACAAAGTAATAACCGTTGTTGTACCTCACATCATCCCATATTATCAAAGAATCGTTTTGAATGGTGATTCTGTGGGCAGGAATCTGACTAACTTGATTTGACTGTTTTTTTTTTTTCAACACTGATGTGGGTTCTGAGATAAGAAGCAATCTGAAGGATCTACAAAGGCAATCTTATTTAAAAAAATGTTTTGACAGTTCTAGTTGAGAACATGAGTGATTTATAAGTTGGCTATTTCAGTTACGATGAAAAAAACATGCTTTCTCAAAAACTGTGTAAATTCCCCATATGTTTAAATGACGTACAAGACGATCCTGTGAAGTGAAACGTTGACCAATAACCCACCATCAGACCAAGGATGCTTGCGACCAGTGTCTCACTTTCAACGAGCCGGGCCGCAGACGTATCTCGCTGTTGATTTTCTACTTTTCTTCTTGAGCCGAGTCATGCACATCTGTC